ATTGTCATTATTTTTTATTCAGTTTTCGTTTGTATCTATTCAACGCATTGCTAACCATTATTTATTGATCAATAAGAACAGCATAAAGGTTAGTTCATATAAGTCATTTTAGCTAATCATGATTTAATGAATTATTGTAATACTTGTTTCCAAAGATAGATTACGTATGTCTATTTCTGTTAATCATTAATGTATTCTGATGCAAATAACAGATGTGTTTATTTCCCTATTATTCTGAGTCTTGAAATGAATTTAAACAATTGCACTTGACTTCTTCATCCTCCCGAAACACACACACACACATATACACATACACACCACACACACATAGACCTCTCTCTCTCTCTCTCTTTCTCTCTACACACACACACACACACACACACACACACACACACACACACACACACACATATATATATATATATATATATATATATATATATATATTATATATATATATATATATATGTGTGTGTGTGTGTGTGTGTGTGTGGTGTGTGTGTGTGTGTGTGTGTGTGTTGTGTGTGTTGTGTGTGTGTGTGTGTGTGTGTGTGTGTGGTGTGTGTTGTGTTTTGCGTATGAATTTTTTCTCCTTTCTTTTTCTTCAACTACACAATATTTCCCCGAAAGTTTTATATTTAACGACCTCGAATTATTTATGCACATACCGTCAGAGCATAAGACAAACCCCCCTTTTATTTACGCAGATCTGCACCCTGTGAAGCAGAGATGGCGAAGACGTCATCGGGGATTGCAAACATTTTTCCACCCGACTCGCCTCCAACCGCAGATCGTTTGTCTTTTGGGTTCGCCATGTGGGGGGGGGGGGGTCATGAGTTGCCTTTTGACATTGTTTTTTGTTTATTTCCTTTTATTATTATGATCATTGTTATTGTCATCAATCATTATTATTATTATTATTATTATTATTATTATTATTATTTATTATTATTATTATATTATTATTATTATTATTATTATTATTATTATTATTTATTATTATATTATATTATTATTATTATTATTATTACTACTTACTACTACATTATTATTACTACTATTATATTATTATTATTATTATTATTTTCATTATTATTATTATTATTATTGTTATTATTATCATTACTATTATTATAATCATTGATGTTATTATTATTATTATTATTATTATTATTATTATTATTATTATTATTATTATTATTATTATTATTATTATTGACGTTTGGTGTCTAATGGAGTGTTCTATTTTATTAGATTTGTCTCTGGCTTTTCCCGATGTGTGGGATTCTCATCAAACAAAATAGATTAATATATGATTATTCCTTCTCGCCTTCTATCTACGTTCCACCCCTCCCTCTCCCTTTTCCCAACCCTTCCTCTCCCCCTTCCATCTTCCTCCTCCTCCTCTTTTCCATCCTCCCTCCTTCCTCATTCTCCCTTCCTCTCTCCCTCCCCTCTTCCATCCCTCCCTCCTTCCTCATTCTCCCTCCCCTCTTCCATCCTTCCTCCACCCTAAGTTTCCATCCCCCTCCCCTCCCCCTCTCCCCCTCCCCTTGCACCCTCGCTTAAGATCTCTCACCCTTACACTTATTTATGTCTCCGGTGACCTTCTCGATTTAGGGGCGTTTTTTGTAGCTAAACAATTGCACATTTCCAGTCCACATCACCCTCGCGCTTGTAACTGTGTGCATGCGTGTGTGTGTGTGTGTGTGTGTGTGTGTGTGTGTGTGTGTGTGTGTGTGTGTGTGTGTGTGTGTGTGTGTGGTGTGTGTGTGTGTGTGTGTGTGTGTGTGTGTGTGTGTGTGTGTGTGTGTGTGTGTGTGTGTGTGTGTTTGCACATGTGTATTTGAATGTGTGTGTTATTATATTATTATAATTATTCATTATTATCATTATTATCACTATCATTATTCCTATTATTATTATTATTATTATTATTTATTACCATTATTATCATTATATACATATATATATATATATATATATATATATATATATATATATATATATATATATATATATATATATATATGTAGATAGATATACGTATGCGTGTGTCTATGTGTGTTTTTTGCTTGCAAAATGTGCTTGTGACGTGCAAAGCTTGCTTGAGTGTGACACTGTTTCGCTTCACCATACAGCTCCGAAGCGGCTGTAGCTTCCGTAACTGTGATTATCGTAGAAATTGCTGGCGTCACCTTGACTCAGCGTTGTAGCGGTCGTGACGGAAGGGAGGGATAGGTGGAGGGGGAGAGAAGGGGGAGGGAGAGAGGGAAGGGGGAGGGGGAGAGAGGGGGCGGGTGGGAGAAAAAGGGAAGGGAGGTAGGGAGAAGTAGGGTTCGGAGAGGGAATGGCGGGGAGGAGAAGGATAGGGAGATAAGGAGAGTAGATAGAGAAGGGGAAGTGAAGGGCAAGGAGGAATGGGAGAGTGGATAGAGAAAAATGGGAGGACGAGGAGATGGAGATAGGGAAGGGGAAGGAGAGTAGGGGAGGTAGAAAAGAGAAAAGTGGATAGGGGGTGAAAGAGTTATGGAAAGGGGGAATGGAAATGGAAAGAGGACATGCAATAAACAATGACAGGATTAGGAGAGGGGAAAAGAAGAGG